TCCAGCGATTTGGAAACATTTCATCTAAGTATCTTCGAACATCAATACCAAAATGTGGGGGAGCGCCATCTTGTTGGAACCAAATTCTTTCATTCGGTATATCTGGATCAATTTCATGAGGGAAAATCACAGCTAGAGCAGGTATCAGGTCAAATGTTAGGAAATCCAGGTAGCGTGCGGCAGTAAGATTTTCTTCAAAAAAGGACCCAAGATTCTGTTGTTGATAATACCTGCCCATACATTAACTTTTTGTGGATGCTGCGTATGCGATTCGCATTCCAGTGTGGATTTTCCTGGGACCAAAAGCGATAATTGTGCCTGTTAACCACTCCATTTAAATAAAACTTAGCTTCATTTGAAAAAAGTACGTAACATGAAAAATATATATTTTCTGCTTTAGTGATAGGTACAGTTTCAAATTTGTTATTTTATTCTGTGCAAATTCATGGAGGATAACACTGAATAATTAAATTTTATTTCACTTGTTAAGTAGGTGGTTTATACAACCCTAAAAACCTTGTTATTGAAAAAATAAAACTTGTTTATTTGGTATGGTTGGATTCGGTTTTCTATAAGCTTTTCAACAAGTCCGTTCATGCCTTATGTTTTCATTTGAAAAAAAAGTAGGGGTAGCTGGGGGTTAGGGGGTTGAAGAAAAATTAATTATTATATAACCGAAAGATGGGAAAAAATCAAAGTCAGTTAACGTGTTCCGGCGTTTTAAAAAAAATTACTCATTCAAAAGAAATGAATTTTATTCCGTACTTTTGGCCATCCCTGTATAAATTCCACAATTCCTGATACATCGAAGGTGCTTCTTCAAGAACAAAGGACAAATAATTCTTATAAAGTTCAAACAATGTTCTCCAGTTACATGGTTTGGCAACCAGAAGGTCCTGTTAAGAAGTTGTTCACGATACTAGTTCACTCATAAATCTCTTTCTTACACAAACATCCAAACCTTTGGTTATTGTACTGATATTACTATGTTTACATCATTCTTTAACGGTTCCTTTGTGTTATCATTTCCATTTACTCTCCACTATTTTGCTTTTTTTAAAAAAACTTCAAGTATAACGTAACATTTATTGTAGGATTCTAGGGAGCTCATCGACGTAAGGTTCTTGGATTTTCAACTTGTCAAAGTGGCATCTCCCGTGTGTGATCTTTCTTACTGTTTATACTCTGGTGGTAACAAGGAAACTTTCGACGACTTGGATCACTTGCTCCAAGTCTATCACGACAGCCTTTCAGAAAGTCTCAGGGCGTATGGGTGTGATCCAGACGAACTATATCCTTTGAAAGCTTTAAAGGATGACTGGAAGGTGCACTGTCAATTCGGGGCTAGTATGGCTTTCATTATTTGGAGAGGAAAGTTTGTATATGATGGCGAAGCTGTTGATTTTACTGATTTTGCGGCGGAAGACGATCAAGACATGCAAAAGTTCAAGGATGCTAAGTTTGACGAGAAGTCTTACAAGGAAAGGATTAGGGACATACTGCTGCATTTGTACGAAAATGATTATTTGATTTAATCAGGGTTTTATTAAGTAAGATTTGTATTTAAAAAATACTGTTATTATTTTTGTAAATAGTTTTTGGTTAAATAAATTTGTATTGTTAAATTTAGAAAGAAATAAAAACAAAAATAATGGACTCATTAGACTTATTATTGAGGTACAAAATATTACTCAATCGTGTAGTGAATTTTAGCTATTCTCTCTACATTTAAATCATGCTCATTTTTAGTTCCAATTTAAATTTATTTGATCGGATATTCGTTTAACTGAGTAGCAAAAATTTTTTAAAATCTAAAGGTGTGTATACATCTGCGCTCCGCTCCGAGCGCGCGTCGCGCATTTGCAGCAAGTTCTCTAGATTAGTACGGGGTGCGCCGTGTGCTCGCGGTTCGTGCGCAACACGAAAACTAAGACTACTGAGCGACAAAAATGTACTGAATTCTCACATCCTTAGCATTTTCTAATATACTGGGTAGAATATAACAAATCATTCAGTACTTCCAAATAATATACATTACATATGAAGCACTATTTTTTTAAATATTTATTTACTTCATTACAACAAAACAGTTCAGTGAAAAAGAATATTTACAATTATGTTTTGTTGTACAATAGAAACTCCGAAACGAATGAATAGCAAAACGAAGTAACTAAATCTAAAGGAGCTTTATATGCAATGAATAGACAGTTTAATATAAAGAATTTAATCTTCTAATTTGCGTAGAAAATTATCCAACATGTTTATTATGATTTGCAAAATTTCGTATAATATTCTCATAAACGTTTTATGAACTCATTATCTGAGAGTAATACGGGATATAATTTTATAAACCTAATACCATTGTAATCCAGAGAATGTATTTTATCACTGGGCTTAGTGCACGTGCAGAGTCTAACAGAGCCGGCACAGGGGTCGGTGGCCTTCACAGCTGACTCGCGTTTCAACTGTTCAGTTATTTACGGAACCTTGTAGTAGTTGGTGTCGCATCGATATCTTTCTTTTTTACATCTGCTGTAAATTGTATTCGTCGTGTGTATTTAAACAACTATTTATAATTTACATTAACAACTATTAGTTGGGGGGAAAAGTAAAGTAAAATGCCAAAAGAGAGAAGAAATATACAGGAATTATTTCAAATGTGGTTTGAGAGTGATCCCGAAGGTTGCAGGGACATACGTATTAAAGCAAATGACCTGTTTTGTATTGTGTGTGAACGCATTATAAATTCTTGTTACAAAACTAAAGTGACAAGACATTTGAAGAGCCATGCCTCCTCCATCGCTGAAGACTTTATTTTTTTGTGAACTTACAGACGCTTTTCTTTCAGGCAATATTCCATTAAATAAACCAGAGAGCCCCAAGTTCCGTAATTCCGTAAATTGGAACCACATGGACTATCCCTAAATGAATAATTTGATATAATGGATGTACAAAAAAATATATACGATGCCAATAATATATCGTACTACTGACTGGGCAGTCAGTAGTACGATAGAAGAAAACATGCAAAGAGTGTTGGAAAAAAATCCTGGCAAAGTAAGAGGCAAAAAATCTTCTAAAATAGTGCTTATTTTTAAAAATATAAATTCTGTCGTCACTGACGTACGCACAAAAAAGTTATGGGATAACCAGTGGCGCACGGGCACTAGAAAGAGAACATCCTGTACTTATTCAATACTAACAACAATTTTTTTTAATCAAATATTTTCTTAATTTTATAATAACCATTTCAACCATTATCTTTACCGCTTTGTCTTTTAAATAAAAATTTAATTTAAATTTTAATTTGCTCTGATTTTCATCTCAATATTTACATTGCCCTTATATACACTGAGCTCGTAAAGTTTGGAATAAATTCGATAAATCGTTATTGAAGGGTTTTGACAGGAAATCCTCGAACACGTCAACTTTAGTTTATAAAATGTCACTTTTTTCAGCCATCGACTTTTTTTTTGTTTTGTTTGTTTTTCAGCTATGACGTCATCGGCAATTTTTTTAAATGGCAACCCATATTTTTTTTCACGGATTTCGATAGAGCACATTTTTCTGAGTACGAATATGTCAAAAACGTATGACCTTCAAGATGGAAGTTTTCGAGATATTCGGTTCCAAAGTTTCAAGAATGCATTATACAAGCGATGACAAAATACTAATCATTTATCAAGGAAGCGCTGGAAAAATTACAGTTTTGATAGTTGAAGTTTGTTCTCGCAAGTTTGTGTTTTAAACTGTCTATTATCTCGAAAACTTCCATCTTGAAGGTCGTACGTTTTTGACATAATATTCATGCTCCGTAACTGATCATAAAAATTTCGATTCTTTCCCTTTCACTCAAACGACGGACCATTTTCAAATAAAATGAATTCTGATAGAATAATGATTAATCAACTTAAAATAAAACACAAACTTGCGAGGACAAACTTCAACTATCAAAACTGTAATTTTTCCAGCGCTTCCTTGATAAATGATTAGTATTTTGTCATCGCTTGTATAATGCATTCTTGAAACTTTGGAACCGAATATCTCGAAAACTTCCATCTTGAAGGTCATACGTTTTTGACATATTCGTACTCAGAAAAATGTGCTCTATCGAAATCCGTGGAAAAAAATATGGGCTGCCATTTAAAAAAATTGCCGATGACGTCATACATCAAAAACAAACGAAACAAAATAAAAGTCGATGGCTGAAAAAAGTGACATTTTATAAACTAAAGTTGACGTGTCCGAGGATTTCCTGTCAAAACCCTTCAATAACGATTTTTCGAATTTATTCCAAACTTTACGAGCTCTGNCTGAAAATCCACACTGGAAAATGGAAACTCGTAGTCAGTTTCCACAAAAAGTTAACGTTTGGGCTGGCCTTGTTGCTAACCGCATTTTGGGTCCATTTTTCATTGAAGGCGCATTAACAGGTGAAAAATATTTTGAATTTTTAAGAGACGTTTTAGTCCCTGCACTTGCGGTGCTTTACCCAAATGACGTAGATCCCGATCTGCCCAATAACACGATATGGTACCAACAAGACGGTGCACCTCCTCATTTTGCAGTGATCGTTCGCAACTATTTAAACCAAATATTTGCTAACCGTTGGATTGGTCGAAGAGGAACTATCGAATGGCCCCCTAGATCTCCGGATCTCACTCCCCTAGACTACTTTTTATGGGGCTATTTAAAGAGCAAAGTCTACTTCAATAGACCAAATACCATTGAAGAATTAAAGGACAGAATTCGCAATGAAATTCGAGCCATTCAACCAGATATTCTTCATAAGGTTCTGCAGGAGTTTCAGTGGCGAATGGGATATTGCCAAGAAGTGAATGGAGGTCACTTTGAAAATTTCCTCTGATTTTCTTGTTTACTTTAATTATTTATCATTTGTACAGAAACCTTTTTTCATTTGTTAAAATTGTTGTTGATTGATTATTACTTAAAAAATTAAACAAATTACCCCTAAAATCTCTTAAAATGTTCGATAAGCTATTAAAAAACTTGACCCACCCGATACCTTGTACATGGTACATTCTTGAAACTTTGGAACCGAATAGACAGTTTAAGTTGTGTCCGATGCGTGGACGTATACGTAGAATTTGACCGTTGCGGATGATCAAATTCGTATCATGATCATCTACAATCAACTTAAACTGTCTATTATCTTGAAAACTTCCATCTTGAAGGTCATACGTTTTTGACATATTCGCACTCAGAAAAATGTGCTCTATCGAAATCCGTGGAAAAAAATATGGGTTGCCATTTAAAAAAAATGCCGATGACGTCATAGCTCAAAAACAAACAAAACAAAACAAAAGTCGATGGCTGAAAAAAGTGACATTTTATAAACTAAAGTTGACGTGTCCGAGGATTTCCTGTCAAAACCCTTCAATAACGATTTATCGAATTTATTCCAAACTTTACGAGCTCAGTGTATTTATAAAAAAGTGCACCAAATTTGAAGTTTCTAAGAAAAATAGTTTTCAAATTATTTGAAAAAACTAGATTATCTGTTCTATTGCATTTAGAAGGTTATGTCTTAGTAGGCGTGCGCTTTTGTATATAGGTAAGTTAGGCTAAATAGTCATTCAAATATTCATTAAAGGAACCTGTGGTCAAGTGTGTCAATTCTTTTCAGAGACACTCTATAGAACAAGGAAATTGTGGCACAGTTCAATGGAACTGTGCCACATGTTACATAATGATGTAAATTGTGCATAATATTAAATTATTGTTAAATATGGTGAGATCCAAATAGAACAACTTTTAAAGAAAATAATTACTTATAAAACCAGTAATTTTTTATAATGTTCAAATTATGTTCTCCAGTCAACTGGTTCAGCAAACACAGAAGGTCTTGTTAAGAAATTGTTCACAATGCTAGTTCAAAAATAAATGATAAAACGATGTTCAAAATATTATAACGCCCAGTATGAAGATAATTTTCAATAAACCACTTATCGGATTGTAGAAATTATAAATTCCATTGCTAAACATTAAAATGTAACAGGGAAATCCTGCCTTTGTTGTCAACTGCAAACAAACTAGATGTAAAGGCTGATCTTGTGGTAGAAGCAACTGTTGCACTGCTTTATGCAGCATAGTCCAGTCGGATTAGACATAAAAAGGGCTTAACCGGGAAAAAATTACGGACCACAATTTTATTATTCTAACTTTTAGGGGAGGTCAATTGTAGTGTAAATTCAGAATCGCGACTGAATTCCATCTCTGCATCAGTCGCCATCTTGAATTTAAGGAAAAATCATTTTTGCTCAATATCTCGGCCATTTTCAACTTTACAACAAAAATGGTAAGGACTTAAGTTGTTGCAAATGTGATTTTCTGCAACTTCTTTATTTACAAATTTTATCGTGCGATCGATATTTTTCAAGTTAAGGGGGAAAATAATGACAAAATATAATTTTTGAATTATCTCGTTTGTTATTAGCTTTACGACATAAATGTACATAAATAAAGTTGGAAAAAATTATATTTTCTACAATTTTGATCTCTTTAATTTTTTCGCTATAACCAATATTTAAGGTCCTACGCTTGCGATTCAAACGAATTGTACTCTTTGGCAGCTTTAAAGGATGACTGGACTGCACTGTCAAATGGGATTTGGAATGAGTCTCTTGATTTGGAGAGAAACGTTTGTATATGATGGGGAAAATGTCGATTTTACTGATATCGCTGCGGAAGACGCCGGCATACAAAAGGCTAAGGATACCAAGTTTGACGAGAAGTCTTACAAGGAAAGAACTAGAGACATAATTTTACATTTGTATGAAAATAATTATTTAATTTAGTTGTTTTTACGACAGATTAAGCTTACATTTATAGATAAATACAACAAAAATAATGAATTCTACCTACGAAAAAGTGTATTAAGAGAGTTCCTCGCCAAAAAGCGTAGCACTATCAGATTCCGCATGCCATATAAACCCTGTGTACTAAATTTAGTGATTCTCGTACAACAGGGTTCTGAGATATAAAAAAGACTATTCTTAGGCGTCTATTTCAAGGGGTTGTAACTCCGAAAGAGGGGTCCATTTGGTGAAAATAAAAAATACAGGTCCCCTAAATTTGTCTTCGGAATTTGTGACCAAATTTTGTTGCATTTCGGGATACACTGTATGATTTTATAGTTATCAGTTGAACAATAACAAATATGTTTAATTTTGTAACTAGAAACTAGGTATAACATTTGTAACCTTGTAATTATAAACCTGCAATAATAGTTATAAACCTACAACCGTTTGTAATTATACACCTACAGCAATATTGAGGTTAGTTACATAATTATAATTTAACACTCTATATATTTATATATGTACATATTTGGATAGGGGGCTTCCTTAATACTGCATAGATATAGTTAGTTAGTTAGTTAGTTAGTTTATTGACCACGTTTACATACATTAGTACATTTGAAGTCATAAATTTAGGTGGTTGATCTACAATCACATCCATTTAAATAATCGATATATTCATTTACTGTGAAGAAACATTTCTTGAGTAACTCATCTCTAGCAAGTTTAACAAATTGATTAATGTTCATATTCTTTGCCTGAATGTAATAATTAGTGAATTTATTATACAGTTTTATTGGCTCAGATTTATCAACCCATCATTCTCTCATTTCTGTGGTGTGTTTTATGTTTATGTTTATCTGAGTTTATCTGTAAACATCACATTTGAGTTACCTCTGTCTATAATTGTGGTGCCATTAGCGAATAGAATACATTTACCTACCCCATTTAGAGTTGCTGGCAAATCATTAATATAATATAAAAATTGGTTTCAATACCGACCTCTGGGGTACTCCATTTATAAGGTATGTAATATTTGTCTCCATCCAATACATGTAAGAGAGATTGGTCAAGAGAGTCTAAAGAGTTTATTGTTAGCATACTCGTTTGGCTATATCTCCCTTATTACGAGAAGTAGATCTATCTAACTTTCGCCCATAATTGTTTTCTGCAAATAACCCTGTACATAATCAGATACATTTTAATAGTTCTATACGATTTTCTAAAATTGTTCAATTTCATTAACGTTATCTACCATTCTGGCAATTCTATGAATACTTCTGTTTATCTGTTTAAATATAACTTGGCGGTATTTCCTTGAACGACTAAATCAATGTTACGTAATATTTGTCAACATTAATTTCACTTAAGAGAATGTTTATGGGACTGACAGTTATTTCGTAGATAACACGTCACTTAACGAGATTCGCATTCAATTGTTGTAACATAACATTTAGTATCCTACCAGTCGCCAAACTATCCACGCGCATCTGGTAAGTTTCGACCTTGACACTGTTTTAACATTCTACTGATGAACTCAAACACGGAGTGTGCCGAGATAAAAATGAATATCGCAGTTGCGCCGAAAATTTACGAGATCGTGAAGGAAGCTGTGAACGGAGACATTGAAAATTTCGAAATCACTGTGCAGGACTCCAACAAAAAGGGAGAGGGGTACCTGGGGCAGATCTTCTTCATCTCTCTACGAGACAAAACTACCGGTAAGCAGTTGAATATTGTGGTGAAGCAAGCCTTTTCCGATCAAACTATAAGAGATTTTAGCCCCATAAGGGAAGTTTTCCTCAACGAGATCTACTTCTACACGAAAGTGTGGCCGAAACTTTTGAAATTTCAGGAGGGAATACCCAAAGCGAACCGTTTTAGCAACCTAGCGAAATGTCTGGTTACCAATTCAGAAGAAAACTTCGAAAGGCTGGTTCTGGAGAATCTGAAATACCAGGGGTTTGTGATGCACGACAAGAAGAAGGCTGTAGAAAGGGAAAAATTTGAGTTCATTTTCAAGTTGTACGGAAGATTTCACGCAATATCTTTCGCGCACAAAGCTTTGTACCCTGAAGAATTTTCTGAGCTAGTCGAAGAATGTTACGATATATTTGGAATTTTTCTTGAGAAAAACAACTTTGATCAGATTATTAAATATACTCATGAGCAGTGCTTAGAAAATTTCCAGCCAGGCACAGATGACGCAATTATTGAAAGGTACAGGCATTATGTTGACGATGGGGCAAAATTATTTAAGGAGAGTTTGGTTAATAAAGGCAAATACACTGCTCTTATCCACGGCGATTGTTGGAGCAACAATATGATGTTCAGATATGACGTAAGTTAGTTTTACTGGATTTTATTTAAACGATATTTAAAAAAGTGGAAAATGGAATGTTCCACAAGTGTTGCTATCCAAGTTAATAATTTCATAAATTATGTTATATTTAACAATAATTATGTTTTTATCCAATGCTGTCAATGAATCATTTCTTATATACGGGGTAAGCCATAATAGAGTGTAAAAAAATTAACTGCTCAATACAATGCAATTGATCGAATATATATCGGTACCAAATTGCTTTATTAAAAAGCTACACGAGTCCGCAAAGAAATTTTTTATCCCTTTATTTTTAAGACACATCATTTTTTAAAATATTTACATGTTTGGAGCGGCTGAAGATGAATGTAGGATTATATTTTAAGTAAAACATGGAGGTCACTAAATATACCGGAAATATTTCATTTTTTCCAATTTTAGCAGTACTTGATTTACTGTAACAATGAATATACTTGTACAAGACAGAGATATTCAGTCTATCTATACATGATCCTTGAAAAGGTAGGTTTTAATTTTGTCCTGCAGTTATTAATTATGGACTGCATATTTAAATGCATTTTAGTCTAACCGACCTCCTCTTTCCTTTTGCTAAATTTGTAGTTATATTAAGTACTGCTACAATTGAGACCAACGTAATTCCATTCGAAAGTTTGTTCATGTTCTGATACATAGCCCTGTGAATTTAGATTTCTACATTCACAGGGCTGTTTATCAGTAGACATTGAAAAGGAATAAGATAAACATGAAAAACAACGTTATTACAAAATAAGTACATGTTCATCACCATTGAAATGTCTTTAAAAATTTATTTATATAATTATTGTTTGAACAAATTTTGAATGTTTAAACAAATTGAATACAATGTTCGGATAAAAACTAGATAAATGTGAGTAATATTCATTAATAGAATAAAGAAAAATACGAGAAAAGTAAAGCAAATTAAAAAGTAGTCTGGAACCAATTAACGAATCACCACGTTTTTTTAAACAGAAGCGTTTTTCCGAGAACTTTAAAAGCAAAATTTAAAAAAATATATTTAAAATGAATTTATAAAGTTATTCTATTTGTTTATTTGCGCAAAAATTAGGCATATATTTAAACAATTACCACAACTCTCCTAATTAACGGATTTAAATTTTTCTGGACGCATTTTAATGTTTGAGTGCTCTTTTTTATGTGACAAATTTTCAAGATTCTAGAAGTCTTCATTTAGGCTCAGTAAAAATTTCAATTTATTTTCAAAAATCTGGATTGCAAAAATTATGGGACCGATTTTAACGAAAATTGGTGTGATGTTTTATTATACCAAAAAGATTTTTTTTTGCCAAGTATGAAGATCCTACCTATAATATAAGTACTTTTAAAAAAATCGCTGATACTGTAATATTTTTCACTTTTTTTTTGTTGTTTTTGCTATATTTACAATAATTATGTTATATTTTTTATTTGAAAATAGGTATATCTTATGTAAAATTAATTACGAATCTTTTTTCCTTTTCTATTTTCCTCTAAAATGAATAGTTTTTGAACTGTGTTGAAAAAAAGAGAAAAAAAAATGAATTTTTTCCAATTTTTTCACTGTTTGTTTAATAATAAGTTTAGCATACGTTTTGTAGCGCGCGCATAGTGAAATTATGTTTTGTTATATCATTTTATTAGCGAAACTATATAAAACATCTACACCAAAACAGATCCCGCCTAGTCTAATAAAGTTTTTTGTTTATTTTAATGTATTCTATCATCGGTTAAAATTAAGGCAGTCAAACTTCTACCCTGTATATTAATAAATTAAATAAGTATGTACAAGTATATACTATATAAGTATAGTCTGTAATTTTATAGCGAAGAATTTTGGGACAAGATGTATTCGGTAAACTACTTTATTATAATACGAGGTTGTGGTTAAATTTTCAAAAGTAATTATGTGTCACCTTGTATTCCGGCAAGGTTTTTACTGTGATTATCCGCACGATTCCAATACATTTCAATGCCAAGTATGATGGCGACTGAGAAAAATAGGTACAAAATGATAATGAATTTGCAGTAATCAATATAATTACTACTGAAAACAAGTCTGAACACACCTTTCGTTATAGGAGACTACTTTAAAAATATAATAATGCTGTACAATGTCATAGAAAACTTTGAAACAACGATAAATGTTATATGTAAACAGCATTAAAATGTTTTTATGTACAAAGTGCAAAATAATAAAGAACAGCACGGTTTGAAAATTTATATTATTAAAATTTTACAGGATGGAGAGATTAATATGGAGGTTACCTTTGACCTTTATAAACAGATATCATAGGTTTGTTTTCTCAAATTCTGTCGTTAAAACCGATTTTTTTCTTAATTCTCATACCTCGCCGCTGAACCGCCGTTGTTCTCAATTCTCATCATTCTTGATTCGTATATCACACAGAAATTTAACAGTGAAAGCATTAACACACCATACTAGCTACTGAAACAAATAACTTTATTATTATACATTTATCATATACCTCACAAAGACTCTTCACTAAATACTACTTTAAATTTTACCATACAGTCAAACTTAAATGTGTAAGCGGTGATCAAGCCCGTGTTGTTGAGAAACTATTGGTCAAAATTGATTGAATCGCAAGGTTTTAGACTATATTAGTACGCAGAGTATTTGTTTCAATAGTTAAAAAGTTTAAATATATCTTGTACAATCTTACGAGATGAATTACTCACAACTTTAATATGTGTAACATTTATTGTAGGATTCTGGGAAACTCATCGACGTGAAATTCCTGGATTTCCAGCTTGTCAGGCTGGCATCACCTGTCTGCGACCTCTCGTACTGCTTGTACTCTGGTGGTACAAAGGAAATTTTCGACGATTTGGACCACTTTCTCCACGTCTACCACGACAGCCTTTCAGAAAACCTTAGGGAATACGGATGCGATCCAACCGAACTATACCCTTGGGAAGCTTTAAAGGGCGATTGGAAGGTGCATTGTCAGCTGGGCGTTGCTATGGGTCTCTCGATTTGGAGAGGAAAGCTTGTGTACGACGATGAGGTCGTTGATTTTACCGACGTCAGCACGGCGGACGTCGATGAGGTTATGGAAAAGTTTAAGGGCGCTGGGTATGATGAGAAAACTTATAAGGAAAGGACAAGGGACATAATTTTACATTTATATGAAAATGATTATTTAATGTAACGAAAGCTATTTGCGAGCTATATTCCTTAAGGAGGTATATCGGGTTTACTCAAATGCACAGATGTACTTGAAATTTATATAGCGTAGTACCCAGTGCTGCCTCTGTGCGTCATATTTTTTTGAAATTTTTTTTTAATCTAGATTTTGAGATATTGTTGTCGAAAGTTGTTCATTTAACATAGGTTTATATGGCGAAGATGGACAGTGCGGCTCTTTTTTTGCCCATAACTGAGAAAAAAATGTAGAAATTGCGAAACAAAACGTTTCCATAGATAGTACACAGTATTATCTTATCTTTGATGTAAAACTAATGTAAGTTTTGAACATAGTACAGCTGTATTAATTAGAAACAGAAACCAATAATTGCATTTCTGTCTGACTTGCGAATTAATGTGGCAACGTCGCAATCAGCTGACATCAAGGAGGGAATACCTACATTTGAAAGACTTGATAAAAATGAAATTGATTTCAAACATATACATTTTTCCTAAATCCCATGTACATTGTTATCAACAATAGATTATCCACAACAGATGATTTTTTTGTAATGTTTTCAAAAAAATAGATTAATTAGAAAAGACTAGGAAGCTGTGATATATTTATTGGAATAAAAAATACGGTTGATAAATCCTTTTAATATATTTAATGGTTTATAAAAACATCGTAATCATTACCCAGCAATATTTAGGGTTACATAAAGTTTTCTTTACTTGATTAATATAATTAGTAATACTTGAGATAAAAGCATTTGTACGGAATAACAAAGGAACATAAATATTTCTCAGCAAACTTTATATCTAAAAAATTAGTTATAGTTGCAAAACTTTTGTAACATTACTAAAATAGAGATTAAAAACACGAACAGTGAGTAATAATGTAATTTCTATCACAGAACCTTCAAAATTGCATCCAACATTTTCTTTGACTTGGACGAGAGATGGGCGCGAGTGTCATTTCATTTCTTTAGAACTAAATTAACATAATTCTCGTTGTTTTACCAGTTCACATGATTTACGGATTTTAAATAAAGGATACAAATCTTCGCGAGGATAATACGATATATTTGCTATATATAATAATTATATTGTACATAGTTTACACACAATACATTTTTGAACGCGTACGCATCTTTACCCGAATTTGACGCGCAATATCTCCGATGTCCGAGGTCTGTAGGTTCGCAGTGTGTACAACTGCTAGTCAATTATTAGCGCTGTTGCCACATCTACATAGTCTTTATGCGTTCATTAAATATAATTTAAAACTACTTAAATATGATATTTTTATGTTGTTAATTTTCAATATGTATGTTATGTGCATATTGAGTAGATTTCTTTGCTATATAGATAATGTTTATCGCAAATAATTTCAATAGAATTTAATTTCTTCAAGTTGGCAGTGGGTTTTAGTCCCATATGAAAAGCATAGGACCCCCCCTGCGATCCTCACTTCCCTCGGACCCCGATATACCTCCTTAAGTTGTAAAAAGTGTTGATTTCTTGCAATGAGTTGTTTTTATGTTACACACGTTTATTTGTATTAAGTTTCTCTGTTAAAGTTATTGGGTGCTATAAGTTTATAGTTTTATAAACAATGTAAAGTATTGTAATTTATTATTTTTGCTTATTTTTAGCAAATTGATAATGATGTCTTTAGTTCCAGTCACAACCGAGAAATATTATCACTTCTATGCTAATTTTATATCTCCCACCCAACATGAGTATACACAGTGCCTGTAAACTAAACTGACAAACGAAGACAGCAAATTCTAGGGATGATTCCTAAGTGACGTAGGGCTCTCTGACAATGGCTCTCTGACATTATTTATCTTTATCTAGAAAGATCAAACTTAGGTTATGTGGTTATGTGTATGTGTGCTTTTGATGTAAAAATGATCTTTTAATTATTATTGTAACCATATTTTGGTTGTTCTCTTCGTTTGTCGGCTTAGTTTCTGGACACCCTGTATAATATATCTGTTCACAAATGTAAAAAATGATTGCTTATTTGATTATATTTTTGTTCTGTTTACTCACATTAATGATACCATCATTCTATTACAATGCATCTGGTGACCAAAATATGTTCAACCTGAGTTATATCGTATTATATTCTAAATTGAAGAAATATTTTTAGGAGAGTTTTGTTGTTAGTAAGTTAATTTGTTGATACTTTTTAAATGCTATAACCTCAGACAAGTAGCTGTGCAAATAGAATGCAGTTTGCATTTTGGAAATTGGCATACCCAAAAGGGTAAAAAGGGACATCCTAAATAAGCTACATGGAAACAGATGGCAGTTCCGAGGTTGCAAAATATTTAAACGAATTTTTATTTGGACTACCTATATTTCATAGTATACGAGTATAACTCATTTATTTTCTCTTGTTATTTTCTAATTGTTAAAAACTGTTTATAAGTTTATTTTAAGTTGATTTCAGCTTCAGTTAAAGTATTTTACTTTTAATTCGTCGTACCTGTGGTGTGTAATTAGGATTTTATATATTTTTAAAATATATTTTTTTATATTCTTTTCATGGTATATAATTAGATTTGAGATAAGTATTTATTGGTTTTCATGAATTTTGAAATACAGTCAAATGGATTATATATATGTTAAAAAAATATTATTAATTTATTAGATGGTGATGAAAAATGATGTAACTAGTATTTAGAATAAAGAACATAATGTGCTGTCAAGTAAATATTTAGATCATGTCTCAAAAGTACCTAAAAATTTTGTGTGATATATTTTTGGATATTATTTTTAATTTTAGGATAATGGATAATATTTACTTTATTTAGTCTACGCCTTTTTTATTGAATATATTGTGTTAATAGAAATCCCCATCAGTTGAATATAAAAAACTATTATCATAATTCATTATGGAAATAAATAGAAAATATTTAAAAATTAGATAAAAATGTTTATTAATTATTTCGTAACTTAATGTAGAATAATGTTATTAGGTAACTAATAAAAATTAAAACAATTTTTTTCACTATATACAGGGTGATTCCAAAAAAGATGCAACAAATTTAGGCGCTGATTTTATTTGTAAAATTAATGGTCTGTAGCAATATTTCGGAAGCTCAATGTTGATACAGTTATACATATAACTTATTTTATTTAAATTACTTTTTTTCTTGGGGACGGTTAACATTATTGAATTAGATCACAAGAACCGTTTCTTACAAATTTTTAAGGATGATAACTGTTTAATTTTTTGCAGAAATAGCAGACAAAAAAGTTACTGGCTGATAAAGGTCGTTTGAATCCTTTGGAGTTTTAGAATTTTGAAGATTTTTCATGCAGAGATATAGATTCTTACCAATAATATACCTCAAAATTAAATTAAAAAAAAAAAAAAAATTAAAAAACCCGGAAAAGTTGTAGCGAAACTGGTGTTTAATTGTACCATTATGAATTTTGATATGGCATCATATCATTATACATTGTAATAAACAACGTGAAAATTTCTTAGATAAGGCGTCCGAAATGGGGGGAATTTTTTTTACATTTTGCTATTTTCAATCGAAAAAGTAATCCGTTTTCGAGAAAAATCGGTTTAAGTATGTTCCCAAAGTGTGCTTTTCTAGACACTTAAATCCGTTTTTCTTGGAAATGGAGCATTTTATTGAAACAGTACATTTTTTGTAGAGGAAATGAAGGTCTATCATATGTTGGCCTCTGAATTTGAAAATTTCGACAAGCAAAAAAATTGGGGCAAATTGTAACTGACGACCCCACCCAATTGAGACGACCCTGATCAAAATTTTTGAAAAATTTTATGATGATCTATTTCGACTTTTAATAAGCGTTCATGATATCAAAATTCATAATTTTTCTTCAACCCATTTCAGAAATATTAAAAAAAAAATGAATTTTTTGAGGCCCCGTTTAAGGGGGCGTATCTCCCTTAGGAAGCATTTCTCGACCAATGTTTATATGAAAAAATATTCTTATTTTTGGCAATAGAATCAAGTGATAAATTAATGGACACTAATTATGAGACACTCATATGTGCCCTAATCTGTCTGTAACAAGAAGCTTTAAAAAACGTTGACATTAACTAAAAGCTAACTTGTTTTGTCAATATTTTTATTAATATACTGGCCAAGTCAGTTTTAGTTATAGATAATTGTATACAACTATACCTAAATCATGTACCCTTTGTAAGCTTTATCATTTCTAATCTATTTCTATACTTCTCTTGAAATGTACAAAATTTAGCTACAATTTTGTTAAAATAGATCATTATAAAAGACATAAGCGACATCTCTCATCTTTTTACTTGCATCTGCAATATCAAAAACGATTTTTATAAATTCAAGAAACATTCTTAAAGAGCAGATTACACTGTGGAAAATATTAAAAAATAATGTAAATATGGTAACACTCCATTTATCTTTATTGTTGATCTGTATTCCAAATTGAAAAGATCGCTTGTCATACCTGAACCCCTAAATTCTATTCACTTAAAAGATAATTATACTTGCGTCAATGCTGCAGTTGCTTCCGGCTAATTCTTATCAATTAAATGAAAAAAAATATGTATATACAGGGTTAGTTAGTATACAAACCCCCAAAAGTCTCAGCAAGAAAACATTTTTGAGATAAATGGTGAAGACAAAAATCTCATCATTTTTCACGACGCATCCTTGATGTCAAGGTCAAAGTTCAAGGTCATATAAAGATCAAGTCGTTTTTTTTTTAATGGCGGCCATCATTTTCTACCTCGGAAATTAAATGAACAAACAATTCTGCATACGGATATGAAATAGACCGTGATCTCAAGGTCAATGGTCGAGGTCAGTTCAAGGTCAAATGTTGATCTCTACTGTAACATTTTTATTTTTAATTACGGAATCAGAGGGAGATACCTGTTGCTACTTTTTAGTGACCTTGATCTTGAGGTCAAGGCAGAAAAAACATGTCAAGGTCATACCGTCGAAGATAAAAAATGACAGACGGAATAATCACTTGACTTCTACTTGCTTTTGACCATTGACGCTTAAGATCATAATACCATGTAGAATTCTACGGTGTCTTATTTCTAGCGTCGAAATAAGGGATCGCTATTCCAAAAAGCGATATGACCTTCACATGTTCTTTAGACCTCAAGATCAAGAGGAGTACCACCAGGTATCTACTCAAAGACTGTCACTCCCTCTGATTTCGTAGTTGAAAGTAAAAAATTACAGTAAAAATCTACATTTGATCTTGAATTGACCTTGACCTTGAGGTCACAGTCAATGTCATATTCGGATGCAGAATTTCCTGCTCTTTCGATTTCCGGGGTTGAAAAGGAGGGTCGCCATTAAAAAAAACCGACTTGACCTTGATATGACCTTGAACTTTGACCTTGACCTCAACTTCAAGGATACCACTTGATGCGTCGTGAAAAATGCGACTTTTGTCCTCACTATTTATCCCAAAAGTGCTTTCCCGCTGCGATTTTTCCATAATTTTGACTAATCCTGTATATAACAACTAACGACTAAAATTAATACTAGATATACCGTAAATGTATTTGCGCCAAAATATTACGTTTTCCATACATTATTAGCTAATGCGGGTATAACACTAATTTTTAATGTAAATTTATCATTGTTCTTTAAAGAACCTCAAAGTTTAGGTATAAACTGAAACAATTAATCATTTCAGACATATATTTACGTGTATTTACAAAAAACCATTTTCATGCATATGCAGAATTAGATCCCTTGTAATCCTTTTATACTCCTCCTCATCGTACCCAGACGACTTAAGCTCTTCCTCGCCTAACTCGATCATGTCATTGAGATCTTTAATTTCACCTTCGTATGTCGTTTTTAGCCTCCAAATGAACAAAGCCATAGTAAATCCCATTTTACAATACCGTTTCCAGTCAGCCTTCAGTTCACGAAGCGGATATATTTTATTTGAGTCGCATTCGAATTGTCTAAGGGTTTCCGAAAGGATATCGTGGTACCCTTGAAGGTAGTAATCCAAATTATTCAGTACTTCCTTTGGTGCTCCTGAATATATACAATATGATAGATCACAACAGGGCGAGCCCTCGGTTGACATTTGAAAATCCAGGAATCTTACGTCTGTCACTTTTCTGGTCTCCTGTAATTGATAATTTACTTAAAAATATAAATTTTATCACTGTAGTTGTTGATGAATGCTTTTATAACCTGGAAACTACAAGGTATTATATGGGACTGGGATCAAAATGTACACGTGTTAATTACACAAGTCAAATAAATTGAATAATACACAAAGTAGGAGATAAAAGATTAAGAAAATTAATGAATGTAAATATAAGATAACATCAATTGCGTGTGCCAATCCCATAACAATTTAGAATCTCTTTGATTTCTACCAAAATTTCTGCTAAATATTACGGCTTACCTATGTATTGGTAGAATTTAAATTTAATTAAATAGTGAGAATGATATCCAAATCATTAGTTCAGCTTGACGGAGTTTTTTTTAAATTGTCAATTATTGTAGATTAGTGAGGTTTGTATAACCTGTAAATTGAGTAGTTAAAACTAAATCATTCACGCAAGGTAAGTCATTGATATATGTACAGGGTGTTTCAGGATTAAGTCGACAAACTTTAAGGAGATATTCCTCATAAAAAAATAAGAAAAATATCAAGTATAAATTATTTTCCAGAAACGCTTCATTTTCGAAATATAGGGAGTTAAAGATTTTTTAAAAAATTCGAATTTTTTAAATAACTTCTAAATGAAGAAGGCTATTTAAGCCAAATTTGGCATGACACATCTTCTTATAAGATACCATTTTGCCATAGAAGTAGAAGTCCCGCAAGCTACCAGTGGCGGAGTTATGGGGACTCAGACTCATTAAATTATAAAAAAAATTAATACGGCCCTACTGAAAATAAAAAATGATGCTGTTTTTAGATATAACAGTTTGTTATTGATAAAAAGTGTACATTCACTTTTTTCCTAACTTTTATAGTTTCATGGCAAAATTGATTTTTCGGAAGGGTGCTTCTGGATTCTGTCGATAAACTTTAAAATGAACCTCAACAAAAATTTTCGAGTAGGCTGCTGTCAAGCAACGTTAATTTGACGTTTTAAATGTTATTTTGCGAATTGTTGCATAAATTATCCATTAGATAAAGCGTTCAAACTAATAATAAAAATAAGTTTAATAATGCCGTCCATATTTTCGAACAATGAATATGCTGATATCTTTGTATATGGTTTTTGTAATGGAAATGCCAATATGCAGTAAGATTTCCTCATCGCAGACTATCAGCAAAGGAAACATTTTCAACGACATTCAGTCGTCTCAGACAAACTGGGTCTTTCGGTATTCCCTTATGCTGATGGACATTTTGCCTCACTTCAAGTCGAAGTAAGATCGAATACTATTTTAAACCATTTCGATGATAATCCATCCACGAGTGTCAGAAGATCTAGCTATGAGCTAGGTATTTCGTCAAGTTCCATTTGAAGGACTCTTCGGGCTGATGGACTCTATGCGTACTATATCCAGCGTGTACAACATTTATTGCCTCAGGACATACGATGCAGGCGTGTGTTTTGGGACTGGATGTTAAACCAAGCAGAGAATGATGATCAGTTTACGCAAAAAGTAATGTGGACAGATGAGTCAACATTTACTCGAAGGGAAATTTTAAACCAAAGGAACAACCATATTTGGTCCTACGAGAATCCACGGGCGGTAAGGGAACATAGTTTTCAGCATGAATTCCAATGTAACGTATGGTTGGGTGTATTGGACAACACTATAGTTGGTCTCTACTTCCGCATCGGTTAAACGCTGGCATGCTTACCGAGTTCCTTGAAAATGGTTTTCAAGATCTGTTAGAAGATGTTCCACTTAATACTCGAATGAACAGTTGGTTTCAACTAGGTGGTTGTCCTGCCCATTTTGGTGGACCTCTACCAACCTCAAAGTGTCCTGCTTTGACAATATTAAGGAACTGACAACATGTGTTCTTTTTATTCTATTCTCAGCATAAATTTGAATATGGCACTCACAAGAAAACAAATAATGGATGACTGTATCTATAAATCGAAACGTTGCTGCAAAAATCTGATTACGCAATGAAATTCTGTGCAAATGTTATTATTTACAAATTTCAAAATAAAAAAGTTGCAGCAAATGTACGAAAATGTAGCATTCGCTATTTTTCAAAGCATTTGCGAGCACCAAAGAACGATGTAAGAAATTTCTCATTTAACTGTTTTCCTATACCTTAGGAAAGGTAATTTCAAAGATCTACACACGTCACCAAAATTATGAGATGAGATGGCAAAAAATGTGTGTAAATTTTGAAATTATCACCATACTGTGAATGTTATCAGTTTAAATTAGGTAGTAATAAATGCTGTTAAAGTAAGTCGCAATTTTTGATTTGATAGTAGTTATCTCAAGGTTTTAAGGATTACATGTCAGTGATAACTGTTACATTGCACATTAATTTCTTCAAATCAAACATTTAACTACTTCTAATGTGATACAAATCCAAGCTAAAGTCGATGCATTATCGGAAACGAAAACAAATATTGGTCATCGTTATAAAAGAGATACTTACATCATATTTAAACATCATATTGTTACTCCAACAATCCCCGTGCACGATAACAGCATATTTTGTTGCACAATCGACACTTTCCAAGAATAATTTGTTACATATTTCAGGATATAGTTTGTACCTTTCGATAACAGCATCGTCAGTTCCAGGCACTAAACCCTTCAAGCAAGTTTCATGAGTATATATGTTGCCTTTCTCAAAGTAGTCCCTAGTAGCCATACTTAAAAACAAATTGGTTGTTCCTGAGACCAACCGTGCGTAACTATCAGGGTGCAAAGCCTTATAAGCGAATGACACTGCATGAAACTTGCCGTACTCTTTGAAGATAAGTTCGAAGTGTTCCTTGTCCAAGGGTTTTTTCTTGTCGTACACCTCGAAGCCTTGATATTTCAAGTTCTCTAGAACTAGCTTTTCTGAAAACTCTTCAGAGACCGTGGCAAAACACTTGGGTATCTTTTGGAATCGATACTTTGGTGATATTCTCTCTTGAAATCGCTCCAAAATGGGCCAGGTTTCAGTGTAGAAGTATATTTCGTTCAAGTAAACTTTTCGAATCTGATGTGCATCTCTGATAGTTTTCTTGTCAAACGCCTGCTTCACTGCAAAGTTGAGATTTTGGTCAGAATTTTTTTCTCTCATGGTGATGAATACTATCTCCCCCAAAAATCCTTCGCCTTTCTTATTCCCCTCATGGACAATTACCTCAAAATTATCAATGTCGCTTTTCACTATATCTTTCAGAACTTCAAGGACTTTTGGTGGGCCAGTGTTACTCATCGTTATTAATTATGCAATATCTCACTGCATACTAGATGCATATGGAACTTAAAATAGTAAAACTGCATCTTATCTACGAGAAGTTTAGTGCACTAAATAGTGATAAGACTACTTAAAAATTGAGTTATCTGTCCCTGGAAAATGTTTTTTGCATCGAACTTGAATTCGAACAAAGTTTATTGCGATAGATTGCAGTAGATTTAATAATAGGCCCACTCAGTGATATATAATTTTAAACTTTTTCTTTTATTTTCTGATGGTATTTAACCACCTAAATATATCTTAAAAAAATTAGGTCAGTAGGATTAATAATAAGTGAATTAATTCTGAATTTGTAAGACCCTTAAAAAGGTCAACACTGCGGTAGAACAGGTAATGACGTCACGATACTGGCCACTCGGCGATCAATTCGCGAGCAGTCGGAGAGATGTCTAGATATTTGCTATACTTTTACCTATATTATATACCTATATTTTTAAGTGTATAAATAGAGACTGTATAAGAGATATACATCAAATCGTGTTGAAATGCATTTTCACACAACATATTTATTATAAACATAGAATGACCTGGAATACCTAAATACATTTCCGGATTTTTGTCAATGACGTAAATTCGTTCGCTTTTCTACATTTTCTTTTGCGTTCCATGTTTGTACAAATGTACCTAACGTAATAGACTCGGCACTTGTGGATGTATGCGACGACGTGTATGTGCTTTGACTAGTATTTGAAACAATTCAGAACCACCCTCGTTTTCTTTGGTTGCCCGTCTAGAGGGTTGTAAAATATTATTATTTAAATAAATTGCTTATAGGTCTATCTCGCCACGTATTTCGAAATTTTTGTGGACGGGAACGTTTAGATGGGGTAGAATTTTTTTTTTTCGGCATAAATTTGAAAATTCTGCTCTAAATGTTCAAATAATAATATTTATAACCCCCTGGACGGGCAACCAAAGAAAAACGAGTGTTTCTTTACTGCTTATAGGTCCCTCTCGCCGACGTATTTCGAATTTTTTGTGAACACGAACATTTAGATGGGCTAGAATTTTTTTCCGGCATAAAGTTGAAAATTGTGCTCTAAATATTCAAATAATAATATTTTACAACCCCCTAGGCCTTCAACCAAAGAAAAACGAAGGTGGTTTTGAGTTGCATACCATGGGTGGGGAAACTAGGGATAACGTCACACAAACTTTTCATTTTTCGGTAATGAAATAAATATTTTATTCGGAGTCGATCCTGAGGTACTTTTGCAGCCTGGAACTATACAATATTTGTACAATCCTCGGTTTCGACCCATNGCCGCGTCCAGTCGGAGAGATGTGTAGATATTTGCTATACTTTTACCTATATTATATACCTATATTTTTAAGTGTATAAATAGAGACTGTATAAGAGATATACATCAAGTCTTGTTGAAATGCATTTTCACACAACATATTTATTATAAACATAGAATGACCTGGAATAACTAAATACATTTCCGGATTTTTCTCAATGACGAAAATGGTTCGCTTTTCTACATTTTCTTTTGCATTCCATTTTTGTACCAATGTACCCAACGTAATAGACTCGGTACTTGTGGGTGTATGCGACGACGTGTATGTGCCAATAGTACTTAGACTAGTATTTGAAGCAATTCAGAACCACCCTCGTTTTCTTTGGTTGCCCGTCTAGGGGGTTGTAAAAAATTATTATTTAAATAAATTGCCTATAGGTCTATCTCGCCACGTATTTCGAATTTTTTGTTAACACGAACATTTAGATGGGCTAGAATTTTTTTCCGGCATAAAGTTGAAAATTGTGCTCTAAATATTCAAATAATAATATTTTACAACCCCCTAGACCCTCAACCAAAGAAAAACGAAGGTGGTTTTGAGTTGCATACCATGGGTAGGGAAACTGTGGATAACGTCACACAAACTTTTCATTTTTCGGTAATGAAATAAATATTTTATTCGGAGTCGATCCTGAGGTACTTTTGCAGCCTGGAACTATACAATATTTGTACAATCCTCGGTTTCCAACCATTTAGACATAAAAACAATGATTCACGAAACTGCCAAGCGAACCACACATCGTATGCATTAACACAGAATGGGATGACAGCGAGCGCGAGCGGAGTGCTCTGCCAGTCGCCCGTACCGGTATTATGACGTCAGGCAATGGTTGCTTAACGTTTTTCCGCGCTCTGTTTTCATTAATTTATTTCACACATTTCATTTTTGGCATACTAACTAATTGAAGGGTAAACTTTTAGAATATGCAAAAAAATTCTACTGAATGGGCCTGTTAGGTCACTTTTTTGACCAACCAAAAGAAAAATGATGTAACATAATCGATCTTGACATAATGTGGATTTTTATAAAGAAAAAAAAACTTTTCCTATGAATAGAATAAAATAAAATATCAGGATGTGTGACAAACAACAACATAAACAATGCTAGTAAGTGTGGAGTAATTTAGTATATACCTACATATTTTCTTTCTTACTAGTTTCGGCTGTTGTGCTATTATCAGGGAAAAGAAAATGGTACCACTGGAAAATAATAACTGCTTAAAAATGACTTTAAATTTTCGTGCAAAACGAAGGAAATATCTATATTTTCACTTCAAGTCAAGTTGATGCGGTGTCAATAAATGGCAAAATTTTTTATCTTTAGGAATTTTAAGTGCCTAAAGCTTAATAAATATGAAAGTTTAAGCCTGTACAAAAATGTTCTGCATTATAAATTGATGGAATTTGGATGTTGTGTTTTGAGTGATTTCGATTAAGACGAAGTAGTCAGATTTCAATTAAAAAACAATCCGAAATGGTATACCTAAAAAACGCTTCGAAACGAAATCGCAGTAGGTTGTCCTTTAAAAGTTTTCGAAACTCTTATATACCAAATTATACATTATATTTCTATGCATAATAGTGGTCAGGTTGATGTTGTCCATACGGACTTCCAATACGGGATTAACTTATTTATTTAGTCAATTCTCTCAATCTTACCTATCTCAAAGGAAATTGACAGTGGAGTAACGAGGTTTCCGATCAATGGATATTAATGCTTCATGTGGAGACAGGTGTTAGTCCTCGGTCCATTATTGTTTTTGATTTTCATTAATGACATAACGTTGAATCTAAATTGTAACGCCCTTCTGTATGCCGACGACCTTAAGTTGTATTTACTCGTGGGTAATTTGAATTACAGTCTCCGGCATCAGTCTGATGTAGATAGAGTTAGTAATTGGTGTGATACGAATTTACTACCTTTACACTTCTTCAAGTGTAATTCCATGACATTCATTAGAAAGACTAGCCCGATTACATATAATTATTCTGTTGGTAATAACTTGATTAGGAAATGTAGCTCTTTTAAGGAGCTTGGTGTAAAACATTTGATATTAAACTAGATTTTAAGGAGGTATATCGGGTTTACTAAAATGCACACATGTCCTTGAAATTTATATAGTGTATTACCCAGTGCTCCCTCTGCGCGTCATATTTTTTTGAAATTTTTTTTGAATCTAGATTTTGAGATATTNTCGCAAATAATTTCAATAGAATTTAGTTTTTTCAAATTGGCAGCGGGCTTTAGTCCCATAAGAAAAGCATTGGACCCCCCCTGTGCTCCTCACTTCCCTCGGACCCCGATATACCTCCTTAATGAACACTTTAATATTATTCAACGTGTGGCATATAGAAATCTTGGTTTCATTTTGAGGAATTCACAACAATTTACACAAACTGGAATATGCCTCTCTAGTATGGAATTCACATTATATAGGATGGCATAAAAATGTGGGAACCCTAAAAAATCTCGCGTGATATGCATTTTAAGGAAAAATCAAATATGGAGAAAGTTAGGATTTTCCCTGGCTATTCAATGGTGACCACGCCATGACTACTGACCACGTGGTTATTATGGGGTCAAGACGATTTTTTTAAATGGGAACTCCCCTTTTTGTCCCCGGAATTGGAAAGAGCGGAAAATTTTACGTTCAGATATGACCTTGACCATTTCAAAATGGCGGCAAAATCAAGATGGCGGACGAAATTTTTGAAAGTTAACCGATTGTCACTAAATTTTGTATACGGAGGTTTTCGACGTCGCTGATCACGAATCCAAGGTCGGATTTAAAAAATTAAAATTGCGGATCCAATATGGCGAAAGAATTTTTCGACAATCAATCGATTTGCACCAAACGTTGTATAGGGGGGTTTTTGGGGTCGCTGATCACGAATCAAATTTGCAAAATTCAAGATGGCGGACGAATTTTTTGAAAATCAGTCGATTTGCACCAAGGATGGTATCTGATTTTGTTATGCATCTATTTTTATTAGCTATTTCTCCCACCTATTAATTGGTTTAACTGTCAGGTGGTAATAAATAAATACAATAAATAAAAGTGAAAAAACAGGTAAATTTGCCACTTATTTGCAATTTGCCAATTTAGCGTCACTTCTTTCGAGTTATTTTTTTGATATTATCATTCTACATACCCTTCATATATATTTTTTTAAATTTATTTCTTCCGTTCTTTATTTTTCTGCTTATTTCCAACAGACTGTTGATGCCACATTCACATTGTAATAATAGAAACAACGTATTTTATGAAGAGATATATTCCACATTCAACAATTTAATCCACTAAAATATAATTGTTCTTATGTATTTATTTATCTAGGAATTCAGATCGAAATAAATTAGACAATGTTATCCAAGCACGCGTCGTACGTCGTTTGTTTTATTTTAGATGCTCCTACACAAGCAACAGGTGACTTCCTTTTCGGACGAGTCATGTTTGATTACTTTAATAATAAAAAAATTGTTGATTTATATCTACTGTTGAATAATAATTTTTTTTTCTGAAAGGTTCAGTTGAGTGGTCCACCCTGTAACAACGTATATAAAGAACAAACTTAAAATTCGAAAGCACTTGGCTCTTGCCTCAGTTGTGATTCTGCATGAGATTGTGAAGTATCAAATAGATGTCGAATATTCCCGCTCAAGTCTACAAAACGTTGGATCAGTTGGTTAACGGAGATGTAGACAATTTCGAGATAACTATCCAAAACCCCAACAAGAAGGGTGAGGGTTTTATGGGGGAGATGCTCTTCGTATCGTTAAAACATAAAAAATCACACAAGGAGGTCAACGTTATTGTGAAGCAAGCTTTCAGGGAAAAGGCGATTAGAGACTCCATCCCAATAAGGGATATTTTCATGAACGAGATTTACTTCTACAGTAAAATTTGGGCCAGACTGGATAAGTTTCAACAACAGGTACCAACGAAATATCATTTCCAGAAGATACCGAAATGTTTAGCTTCTGTTTCAAACGAGAACTCTGAATATCTGGTGATGGAAAACTTGAAGTTGCAGCATTTCCAAACCCACGAGAAGAAAATACCATTGAGCAAGGAACACTACCAACTTATCGTGAGGGAATATGGGAAGTTCCATGGTATATCCTTCGCCTATAAAGCTTTATACCCGGAAGAATACGCCGAAATGGCAAAAGGGCTGGTAGACATCTACGCTGATATGTCTGGGAGAGAGTTTTTTCAGAATGGGATAAAATATTTGTATGAAATAGGTATTGAAAGTCTTCAACCAGGGGTAGACGACGCCGTGATCGAAAAGTTCAGGCCTTATCTCGAAAATTATTTAGATGTATTCGTTGACAGTGTTAAACTTAAAACAAAATATACGGTAATCACGCATGGGGATTGTTGGAGTAATAACATGATGTTTAAGTACTACGTAAGTAATAAATTATAATAATAACATTATAATATTTTATTGAAGCCTACTTCGCTCCTATTAGTCCAGGCGATATCTGTTTCGGGTTGGGTAAAACGCATATGATCGGAGATTTTTGCTTTAACGGCTTCTAAATAACATCAGAAATGATAATATTTGTATGCAAAAAAAAACGTGGGCTTAATTGTTATTGCAAAAAAGGATAAAAAATAGCAAAAAAAATCATTTTTTTCTTGGATTTCTCGTCGACAACTTAGCAACTATTAATTTTAGACAAAAATGGAAGAGGAAAAAAAGTTTTGTAATTAAATTTTGATCAAGATATAGTTAGTTGCAATTCGAAAAAATAATTATTGTTATTGCAAAAATCGGAAAAATCATTTAAAAAATTGCAAAAATGCTAGTTTATTTGTCATTTTTTTCAGACACTTGAATAATACCTAGAATCTTCATACTTTCCCCAAGTAAACTTCTTAGTGCATAGAATCATCACACCAAATATCATCCAATTCGGTTCGATAGTTTTTACATAATACCTAATTGTTTAATTTTTTTTTAAATTACAAAATTTTCAAAATCAAATTTCTAAAAATCTAAAGCCTTTGAATACTTGAAAATTTCACCACAAAAAGAAGAGCTCTCAAGCTTTAAAATGGTTTTTGAAAAATTCAAATTGGAGAGCCGTGGTGATTGTTTATACATTTTCGCAATTTTCACGCTTATAAACAATTGCAATAATTTAATGTTTTTTTCAAATTTTTTTTATTTTAAAATATGGTTTGAGTGTACTCGGAAAGAAGAAGTACTTTAAAAAAAAACCTGATGATCCGCCCATTATTTTCGGAGTTATAGCCCTTATTTACAGCAAAACTATAAGGGTATAAGGGCTGTTTTTTAACTAATAGGTTTGTCATTCCGAGTACCTACTTTCCAGATATAAATTTTCTAAATTTGCAATCAGGGGCGTCCCATTTAAAATGTCATTAAAAGATATTCAAGACCGCGTGAAATCAGTGGTGTGGGGAGCAAACACACAGCTACTCCGATCTGAATTCTCGAGTTCAAAACTTATCTATCGATTAAATCGATGTCTCGCAACTTAAAAAATTCAATTATCATATTTTCAACTACCTTTTATTATTAATTATTGGACTTTTGACATGCCGATAAACAGTTACTTTAAAAATTGAATAATTTATTATGTTTATTTATTTACGACCAAAATTTTTGCATGTTGCACCAGGTAATACTAGTAAATTTGTTTAAATATTAAAAAATTGTTTAAGCAATAATTATTTAAATAAACAACTGAAAATTGGTATTAATTTTTAGTTGTACAATAAATTTCTAAAAATCTTTCAAAAAAAAATAAATTGTGAATAATTATAATTACAATTTTTTCGTTTACTTTTAAAATATTTATCTAAAATTTATTTTTTATTTATATAAAAAAGTATAATAATCTTTTGGATACTTCAATAAACAGTAAGTACACACTTTTCATGAATTTTCAAATTTTAAATTATTTACTTCAATTTTTATTTACATTTAATCTAATCTAATTATTTTACTAGTTGGTGATTTTTCAAATGCCTCATCAGTATTATCACAATCTATTTCGTCGTCGATTTACTCGTCCTGCGACTGCAAAATATCATTTTCTAACGACTCTGAAATCTGATTGTCGAGTTCACTTGCACTTTCTTCTGACATGTCTTCTTCAAAATCGATTTCGAACTCGTCTACTTCCACTATTTTGTAAGCATTTTTACACATTTGCCCTTGGCAATGGGTGCAATACTCAGAGCATTTTTGAACTCGAGAATTCAGATCGGAGTAGCTGTGTGTTTGCTCCCCCCTCACTGATATTTCACTGATTTCACGCGGTCTTGAATATCTTTGAGTGACATTTTAAATGGGACGCCCGTGATTGCAAATTTTGAAAATTTATATCTGGAAAGTACTCGGAATGGCAAACCTATTAGTTCAAAAAACAGCCCTTATACCCTTATAGTTTTAGTGTAAATAAGGGTTAACTTTAACGGACTATAACTCCGAAAATAATGGGCGGATCATCAGGTTTTTTAAATACTCGTCTTTCCGAGTACTTTCAAACCATATTTTAAAATAAATAAAAAATTGAAAAAACATTAAATTATTGCAATTGTTTATAAGCGTGAAAATTGCGAAAATGTTTAAACAATCACCACGGCTCACCTAATCGTCCGATTTGAATTTTTCAAAAAGCATTTTAAAGCTTGAGAGCTCTTCTTTTTGTGGTGAAATTTTCAAGTATTCAAAGGCTTTAGATTTTTAGAAATTTGATTTTGAAAATTTTTTAATTTAAAAAAAATAAAAAAAATTAAACAATTATTATGTAAAAACTATCGAACCGAATTGGATGAAATTTGGTGTGATGATTCTATGCACTAAGAAGTTTAATTGGGAAAAGTATGAAGATCCTAGGTATTATTCAAGTGTCTGAAAAAAATTGACAAATAAACTAGCATTTTTTGCAATTTTTTAAATGATTTTTCCGATTTTTGCAATAACAATAATTATTTTTTCGAATTGCAACTAACTCTATCTTGATCAAAATTTAATTACAAAACTTTTTTCCACTTCCATTTTTGTCTAAAACGAATAGTTGCTAAGTTGTCGACGAGAAATCCAAGAAAAAAATAAATTTTTTTGCTATTATTTTATACTTTTTTGCAATAACAATTAAGCCCACGGTTTTTTTTATTTGCATAGAAAAATTATCATTTCAGATGTTATTTAGAAGCCGTTAAAGCAAAAATCTCCGATCATATGCGTTTTACCCAAGTATACCCTTTTTAAAACAGATTCATAAAGATCACTTAATTTAAATTGTTTTAATTATCGCATGGTATAAAATGTTAATGAATCTTTAATGACCTATTTTAATTATTATTATACTCATACTGGATTTAATGCCATTGTTATTAGGTTGTTGCTACTTTTTCTTTTAAACAACATTCGGCCAGGTCAAATATTGTTTTTTGTAGCTGTTTTCTGTTTGTTATTGCATCAAGGTTGCCTACCTATTTGCCTTAGAAGTTCTTTGTAAATAGTGATTAAATATTGTAGGTCTATAACACCTGAACTGAGGATTTTTTTCAAGGGGCTTCCCAGTAAGAGGTATTTTATCGCACGTGAATGTCATATATTTTCTGACACGACGTATTACAAAAGCTAATTTACAATATTGGAAACCAACATATTCGAAACACAAATTACCCTACTAAAAGAATCATTACTTTACAAACTTTTGATACAAAATTCAGAAATATTTTCAGGTATATTTTTTCCACGAAAAATTTTGCAAATTTTCTGTAGCGACCTTTATTAAAAAAATGAAAACCACAAAATGGAACTTATTAACTACGGAAAACAGACAGCATTCATTGGAAATGGTTCATAACTTTTATATCTTTAGCAAGTCTCGTAAAACAAGACATAATACACAGTTTTTTTAATAAAAAAAAATAAATTTAGTATATTTTTTTTAATAATAAAAAAAGTATACTAAACTATTATTAGATTACTTAAAACGCACTGCCAAATATGGTGGGTATGTACAATACTATGTACTAGACTTTATATTTAACTTTAAGAGATTTTTTTTTAATGTGGGTGCGATATAACCTATAAAGCATATGACATCTCCTATGTCACATCTTAAGTTGGTGTTTCATGAGGCGGAATAATAGGGGATATACGATTAACCCAAATAAGGACTTTTTGAAACATGCCGTCTAGACTATAAACTTTTTAACTGATTTTATTGAGGGAAAAAACTTTCATAGCACTTCCAGATGAGTAGGGCACTTTATGCGAGGCCAGTAGACATTCTGTAACAATGACATTTAAGGTGTCACATGTGACAAATGATATATGTTTTAGAGGTTATGTTTCACCCACACCCAAAACATGTCTGTCACCCTTATATCGAAATCAGTCAGTCATCTTGCCTATGGCATACTGACAAGAACTAATAAATTCGAAACAGGTCAATGACTGGTCCTGACATATGTTACATATATACTAGATATTAGGAATGTAGTTCAGTCATTCACTATTAATTAAAAAGTTCTTTCTCGTGTTCTGTAAGGAATAAGGAACAGAAAACAATCTTTAACAAAATGTGCATTGACTTTTGAAGTAAGGCATATAAAGGGTGTCCCCTTAAGGTCGGCGAGGTACGATATTAGAGAATGTATAGATAATAAATAAACAACACTTTCCTTACAAATTTCAAATTTATACTATATTCATCAATTTTTTGTGCTAAATTCATTTATGTAAAGAAAACTATAGCATTCTTTTGAAATAATGCCATCTATAGGTTTCCATATTGAGGTAAATAATTCATCACGAGATAAAGCATCAAAACACCTTTCCAACGAGATATAACACTATGGGCCTTTGATGAGCCAATCCTTAAAAAAATGCATTTTTCTGATCAGAGGAGCTTCCCCCTCCCTTTCTGTCGAGAGTTAGAACAAAATGTCAATAACAAAAGTTATGCCCAATGAATCCAACTATCCATATTTGTACTATTTAATATACCTGAATAGGAAACATTTCTGAGAAAAATTCAACTCTATGTATTGGTATGTAGATTGCGCCCCCTGGCGGCCCAGCTACGAACTTGAAAACTATTTCTAGCGGTTTCTCTTGGTGGATCCATTAATCAATTTTTTTCCCGAAGTTCTAGGACGGATACTTAATATCGTACCTCGCCGACCTCAGTTTTTTTTTAAAATAATAATAATTTTCCCTTTTAAGGAGGTTTTATCTGATTTGGAATTGACGAACAAATATTCATAAAAAAATGAATATAAGCTTATTAATATGAAGGAAACCCTCAAAAAAGTTATGACTAATTTGGATACCTAAGAGATGAGATATTAATAAAATAATTTTTCACGATTTAGTACAGAGTCTTATGAGAATGCAGATTTTTTTTAGTCTTTCCACTTAGAATGCGCAGCAATTGACAAATAGTTTTTACAGCAACTTGTATAAATAGGAAACCGATATCTAAGGAACCGTATGACAGCTCGTAAAAATCGATTAGGTACTTGTAAGATACATAATTTATAATAATTCTCTTTCAAACTCCTGTTGTTGATTAACTTAACGTCCATATGCGTGATAGCGGCAACGCTGCGGTTCTCGACCTAGCGTATTATTTGAAATTAGCAGGTGTGTATATTTCAAGCTTAGGCATCCAAACAAAGCCAGCCAAGTGCAACGTTGCCAAATCTAAAGGCTTACTACTTTAGTCACTAGCGAATGTACAGAAATTCTCGTTAGACTTTTAGACGTACCTCCGCACCCGATAAACCTCCTTAAACTAAATAATATTTATTCTAGGACGCCAAAAACGTGACTGACGTAAGATTCTTCGATTTCCAACTTGCTAGAGAGGCTTCTCCTTGTTGCGACCTTTCGTATTGCATCTACTCAGGAGCACCGAAGGAGGTTTTGCAGGATCTGGACCGATATCTTCAAATTTACCACGACAGCCTGTCTACAACCCTCAGAGAATTCGGGTGCGACCCTGAGGAAATTTATCCCCTACAGGCATTGAAGAAGGATTGGAAGATATTTTGCAAACTAGGGATTACAATGGGTCTGATGATTTGGAAATTTAAAACTACGTACGATGAAGAATTGAAAGATTTTACGGATATAACAAGCGACGAACAGGAACAAATATTTCTAACTGGCTATGACAAAGATGCATTCAGGAAACGTGCTAGAGATTTGCTGTGTCATTTATACGAAAGTGATTTTTTGTAAAGATATTTAAACAAAATAAATTAATTGCGAAATATCTAATCTGTTTTTGTAGAGTCATTGTAAGTTCCACAACGATAAGTAGAGGATTAAGGAATTGTATTAATAAAACATGTGCTCTTTATTTTTTAAATGTATGATCAATTTGTTTTGGATTTCATTTGCGGTAAGGAACAAATGTTGGAACACTGCTTACTAGTCAACACGTATATATTTTTAGGTTTCTCTTATTAGAAATATGATAATAATACAAATAAATTCTGGGAAACTGGGGAATTAATTAATGCCATTCTCATTATCAAAATTATGAGACAACTTAATTATTATACATAAATATTTTTAACTTCTTGTCTCCTTCAAAGTATTCTCTTCTCCTATTCATACAATTTTCATAGCGGTGTTTCCATTTCTCGAAGTCCTGGATAGCTTCATTTCAAACGGCCTTTAAAATCGGTGATGAGTTGGCTTTGATGTCTTCAATAATATGAAAACGGCGTTCTTCTTTAAATTCGGAAATAAGAAAAACTGATTTTTGGCACAAACCTGACGGATTGGCAAATGCTTTATAATGGTGCAAGAAGAATGAGTTGTCGACATCCTTTGCCAATCCATTGTGATGATTGAACTTTTGTTTCCCGTTATGATCGTTTGAATGAATGTTATGATCCTTTGAATGAATGTTTCATCGTCATTGGATTATTCATTTAAAATTGTGTCAATAAAAATAAATAATTATATAACAATTTTATTATCTATTTATATTTCTTGGATCAAACAATCACTAGGTAAGTGTTATTTCCCATATCTACTGCGTATTTTAGTGAAAAAGCGAATTTTGGAGAAATATAATAACAGGTGTACCATTTCAGCAAATATTGGACTTAGACATGAAGATTGGCCGGAATTTGTTGTCATTATATTTTGCTGCAAAATAAATTCTACTCATACATTAAAATGGACGCATTTCATTAATGTTTTTAAAAGAGTAAGTGTTGAGTAATGTTCTATTGAACCTTTATTTAATCAAAGTCCAATTTCTATCTCAAAATCACAATATGTTGCTCTGTAAGTGTCATGTTAAGCATGAATACAAAATTATAATAAAAAGAAGGCTGATAATATTGATACTGAACTTGAGGAAGCAATAAAGAAACAACATTTTCAGAGCGTTACATTTTTTTTTGTTATATCTTAGAACTATTAAATGAATAATATACAAATATTGATTTTTAATTTGACGAAATACGTTGTAGTTGCGATAACCCGCAGCATTGAGATGTTGTGACTCATTATGCTTGCCGCCAGTAAGAGTTTAATACGCTAGTGTCGCATAGAAAGGCAAGCGCTAGCTCTAGTGGCCCTCAGCCCAATTCTACTAAAGTGCTTATGAAGGTGCCCTAATCTTAGCTCTTCTTAATATGTTGATTTTCCAACCTTTATAAAGAGCCTGGCCTGGATTGTGCGATGTGTGACCTCCATGAAGACGTTTGCCTAATCTCTGTTCTTCTTATTCCGATCAACTCATTGAAAGTCATCCTGCGGCCTCCAACAGAAAATTTTCCCTCAGTGTTTCAACTTAATTCTCTAAACTTCCTCAACTACAATGTGTAGTTTCCGAAGTGAAAAGCAATGTGAGAGCTGTGCTTAACGCTTCTGTCTTACTGCCAACTTGCTGTTGAATATAATGCTGTATTTTGCAATATCTCATTTTAAGGATAGTCTAGATTGCAACACTAAATATACCGTCGCTACACACGGTGATTGTTGGGGCAATAACATGATGTTCAAATACAGCGTGGGTAAAACAGTAATTTCCTTGGCATCCAATTTTCCAGCTAATGATTGTAAATTTTCATTGGGGATCGGTACTTAACCTATGAATGGTATCTTAGAAATGATAAGTAGGTAGATATAATCATGTTTCTATTGTATATTAGTTAACAAGTACCTTTTTAGCACTTGACGCCATAAAATGTTGTACTGATCATCAAAGACAATTTATTTGTCGCCCAAAACTGGTATAAAACGATAGGAAGTCATACAGCACATTAAACCAAATGTATTCGTCATTATTACGCAACTTGAGGTTCTTATTATGCAACGTGAGATATGGTGAATTATATTTTAAAATAAATAACCTTGAAATCATTACTTGCTTAGTTGTTATAGTTATCGGTTCCGTATCACCAAATTGGCAGAATTTCTTATTAGATAGTAAAAATAGTTAACTAATTTTAAAACTATGTAAATAATATGTTTTTAATGATACGTCGTAAATATATAAATATATTGACGTATGAGCCTTCGCGCAAGTGTGGCAAATTCTCACTTGCTTGTAAGAAAAATTCACGTTCAGGTGTGATATACGATGTTTTGTCCAACAGTTGCAGTTTCTTTAACAAAAAGCAAACTGGAAGAGATATTCTAAAAAGTCCAGGAGCCAAGTCTTGGTTGTCAACTTCGTTCGCCCTGAAAAGTTGATAAATAACAAATTTTCTGTTCTCTTTCTGACGGGTTGTAGCCTTTGCCAGAAAATATTCGACTAGAAGCCAAAGCAGATGATAGCTTCTTATCGACGAAGGCACGTTTTTTACCTACAAGTTGCTTGACTAAATTATTATTTTATGTTGTTATTAGACGGTTACTATTTATGCTGTGACTGAAGGGTACATATGTGATGAACTAGTGAAGATGTGGATAGAACATACAAAGGAGACAGTGATATTCTGCTGGTTCCATCTCCTTCAAAAGGAGCGATCTTTTACGACTTTGAGAGATGATTTTGGCAGTTTTTTTTTACTGACTACTGTTTTCAGGAAGACGGGAAATCAATCGACGTAAGGTTCTTCGACTTTCAACTGGCGAAATAAGGTTCTCCTTGTTGTGACTTGTGTTACTGCTTTTATTCGGGAGCACCAAGGGAACTGCTGAAGGATTTGGACTATTTCCTGAAAATCTACTATGATAGTCTCACGGAATCTCTGAAAGCATTTGGATGCGATTCTGGAAAACTATATCCTTTCCAGGAGTTGAAGAATGACTGGAAAAAATACTGTAAAGTGGGTTTCATGATGTCCCTGAAGATATGGAAAATGAAATGTACTATGTAATATAAAAAGAACATGCTGTTACCTATAAGAAAATTTAAAATAATAAATGCTTTATTGGTTTAACGTTAAAAAAAGTAAATATGTACTTTGACCAAAATTATGTCCCTATTAAAGTAACCATTGTGCAATTTGTCATCCTGCAGCTGATTTAAAAATGACTGCAAAATGTTTTGACTGGAAATAACATTATCTTCAAAGAAAATAGTTCAATTATTCTTCGCTGAGATATGCCTACCCAAATTTCTATTTTAGCAGGATGTAGAGGCGTTTGCATTAACACGGGTGGATTCGCCAAAGACCACGTACGATAATTTTGTGAATTTATGTATCCTCTAAGAGGAAACCATGCCTCATCGGTAAAAAAAGTTTTATCTAAAGGATTGTCATCGTATAAGTTATTCTTAAACCAGTTACAATAGTTCACTCTTTTTCTTTTATCTAATGGTAATAATTCTTGCACCATGGAAACTTTATGTGGATGTAAATGTAATTTTCTTACAGCTCTGTGTACTGAACCATATGACATTCCTATAACTAATATTTTTAAATACTGATATTCAACATTTTATAAATATTTACCCGCCTGAGCTAAATGTTGTCGTCTGAATCTTCGCATCGATCAATTTATTCGAGATTTATCTAACTGCACCCTAATGCCCGCCCAATCCAGGTTTTTCGCTGAGGGAAAGTGGTCGTGAATAATGTTTATTTATTTGATTGTCGCCACAAACTTTCCGATGTCTACTTACAATCAAATAATTTAAAATAATGAAATTGATGCAAACCACGTATTTCCTTTGTCCCTCTTTTTTTTATTTAATTAGAAATTTCTATGTAAGTGCAATTATAGTTTCAATTATCTGATGTTGACGAGTTATCTAGAATTATTATTTGTTTTTCAATTTTTTTTCTTAGAAGTTTTATTTAATCTATTATTAATAGACCAGGCGGTATCTGTTTTGGTTTGGGTGAATCGTATATCCACGGAGATTTTTGTAGTAGTTATAGACGATTAAATTTCGAGCAGGCCGAAGCGGCCGCGCTCTGTTCTTCCCCCACCACCACCACCCGTACGATTTTATTGAATTTCTGGCTTGCATAAATAACTTTAAACACGTTTTAAAGTAGGTTGCCAATGAAGAAAAGTATTGTAATCTTAGACATGGTAAGTACTCGGAATACCAAAGGTATTTTTCGAAAAATTAGCCCGGATGTCCCAGTACATTTAGTGTAAATGACGG